AAGAAAACAATACATGCTGGGCATGGTGGCACAGGCCTTCAATCCCAGTACTCTAATGGCTGAAGCAGGAGAATCACTGTGATTTCAAGGTCAGGATGGGCTAGTGAGTTCAAGGGCAGACTGGATTACAAAGTAAGATACTATCTCAAGAAAAAAGGAGAAGACGATGAGGAAGAGGAGGAAGAAAAACAATACAAAGCATTAATGAATGTAAGAGTAAATAAAATTGCCAAAATCTTAGCCAATCATTCCACTGAGCCAATTTGTTTTATATGTGTACAGGAATGCTACTGATTTGGCGGGGGGTACCAGGGATTGAACTCAGGACCCTGAACTTGCCAGGCAGGCACTTATTCTATTGAGTTATCTCCTTGGCCAAGAATGCTACTGATTTTTTGAGCATTGATTTTGTATCTAGCCATGCTACAGAATTTTCTTATTAACTCTAGGAGTTTTTTGGTAGAGATTTTGGGATCTTCTATGTAGAGTATCATGTCACCTGTAAATAATGCTAATTTCACCTCTTCCTTTCCTATTGGTATTACTTTTATTTCTTTCTCTTGTCTAATTACTTTGGCCAGTGCTTCTAGAACTATACTGAATAAGAGTGGTTAACAGTGGACATCCTTGCCTTGTTCCAGACTAGAATGAAAGTTTTCACTTTTTGTCCATTTAATATGATGTTGGTTATTGGTTCATCATAGATAGCTTTTATCACATTGAGATAAAGACCATCTATTCCAATATTTTGTAGGGTTTTAAAAAAAATTATGACTAGGGGGCCAGGGAAATGGCTCAGTGGAATAAGTGCTTCCTTGGCAAGCACAAGGGCCTGAGTTTAATCTCCGGTTCCACAAAAAAAAAAAAAAAAAAGAACTGATATAGTGAAAATGACTGTACTCCCAAAATTCTTACATAGATTTGATGCAATTGCACAAAATATCAGTATCAAAATATCATAGCACATCTCACAGATGTAGTAAAAAATTGTCCTAAAATTCATTTGCTACTAGAAGAGATCTAGAATAACAAAGGCAATTCTGGATAACAAAGGGAGCATCACAATCCCTAACTTGAAATCATAGTACAGCTTCCTTCCACCACAGCAACCATTGAAGAAGAGTGCCATGGACCTCATCAAGGGTCAGAAGGTGACTAAGAATGTGAGCAAACCGAGTCACAGCTGCCATTTCAGACATCTCACCGAACACACCAAGTTCATGTGGGACATGATCTGGGAGGTGTGCGGCTTTGCCCCCTATAAGCAGTGTGTCACAGAGCTACTCAAGGTCTCCAAGGACAAACATGCCCTCAAGTTCATCAAGAAAAGACTGGGGACACATATCTGTGCCAAGAGGAAGCATGAGGAGCTGAGCAACATGCTGGCCACCATGAGTTGAGGGCTGCTGCGAAGAAGGACTGAGCCCCTCTGGAATAAAGCTTTGCAGAAAAAAAAAGAAAGAAAGAAAGAAAGAAGTCATACTACAAAGATACTGTGATTTTAAAAAAAGAAGAAAAAAGAAACCCAGCATGGTCCTATTTGGTTGTTAAATGAGGAGTGTCTGTACTCAGGCTCTACTGAGCAATTTTTTTGAAGAATGGATCGAAGATGCCCAGTCTGAACCACATGGTTTGGTATTTAACCATATACAGCCTATATTTCCCCCTTATAACCTCATGTTTATCTGGGCCTCCTTCTAAATCAAAAAAGAAAGGAGAAAGTAAGTGTGGTAAAAAAATTGTTTAGCTGGGCATGGTGGCATATACCTAGCATCCCAGCACTTGGGAGGCTGAGGCAGGAAATCATTGCAAATTCGAGACCAGCTGGGACTACAAAATGAGCTCGAGGTCAGCCTGAACTGCATAGTGAGAGTTTGTCTCAAAAAGACAAAAAATAAACAAATAAGTAAATAAGAAAAAAGAAAAATCCAAATATATTGAGTCACCTCATCTTTCATAAAGGGCCCAAACACCTTCACTGGAAGAAAGATAGCCTCTTTACTAAACAGTGCTAGAAAAACTGGCTTTTGACGTGCCAAAGATTAAAATAGAACTATGTTTCACCAGGCACTAAAGTGAAATCAAAATGGATCAAAGATCTAAATACTAAAACAGAAACACTAAATCTGCTGGAAGATAAAATACATAGAACTCTTGAAGACATTAGTATAGGCAAAGATTTTATGAACAAAATGCCAATCACACAAGAATATCCCCAAGAATCAACAAGTGGGACCTTATTAAAATTCTTTTACACAGCAAGAGAAGCCACCAACAGAGTGAAGAGACATCCACTGGGCGGGAAAAATTTACCATTTGTTCTTTTTTTATGCCATCACAAATAGGACTTTATCACTATTAAAAATCTGGATCTTAAGCGGACTCTTGCACTGGTGGTTCATATCCATCAGCTCCTTCAACTTTAGCTCCAGTCTCATCTCAGTAGCCCTTCCAGAGCTGCTACCTTCACCATGAAGCTCCATGAGTTTTCCCACTTCAAACTTGGGCTTCTTCAGCATTTTTACTTTTCTGATGAAGACATCATGAAGAGGGTAGATAGGCTGGCAAGCCTTTTCTATGTCTTTCCCAATACTGCCTGGAATCACCTTATTGACTACTTCCTTCAAGTCATTTGTCTGCACCTCCCGGGTCATGATTTCCATCATCTTCTTCAGGATCTGGTGGACCTGTTGGTGCTAAGCGTAAGAGGTCTTCGGTATCTGATTGTTGCGTTTTTTAGTAAGGCAACACAGAACAGTCGAAGCAAATAACCATTGGTAGTCTTGACATCAACATGAGCTTCGATCATGGTCTGCCATTTTTTGACCATGGAACACATTTTGTCCCGGGTGAGGTCCATGCCATGGAAGTTAAAATTAACTTTTAACTTTGCACTTCTTGATCTGAGAAGTATTTATTCATTTCAGATGTCCATTTTTGGACTGGGGCTTTAAATTTAGCTCTCTCTCTCTCTCTTTACTAAAGAGGCAGTTTTTGCCCTGAACATCTTCAGTAATTAGCTTGAATTTTCTAAAAGCAACTTCATCATTCTGCAGGTCAGCAAGGCTCACTTCAAACACACGACCTTTGAGCCCATCAGATGCAATTTTGGTTCCTTGGGTTCTGGTGACCAGTGTTTTTCCAATATTTCTTATTTTGAACATAGCCGGCGCCTTCACATCATACCAGTCTTTGTTAGAAAATGGATCAACCCACTGGGGGCATGCCACCATCGAGAACCCATCCACTGGCTCCAGTAGACCCCAAAGGGTGGGAAAATATAGCAACCGGCACTTACACTTTCTTCTTGGCTCCTTTTTTGCCGCCTTTCATAAGACGCTTGTTCTTGCCTACCGCCATGGTGCTGCTCAGAGAGCCAAAAGGTACCATTTGTTCTTCAGACAAAGGATTACTGTCTAGAATGTATTAAAAAATGAGAGAGAGAGAGAGAGAGAGAGAGAGAGAGCTAAATTTAGAGCCCCAATCCAAAAATGGACATCTGAAATGAATAAATACTTCTCAGATCAAGAAGTGCAAATGAGAAATAAATATGTGACAAAACCACTGGTCATTCCAGAAATGCAAATTAAAAAGCTGTTGAGGTTCCATCTTATCTCATTCCAGAAAGAATGGCTATTACCAAGAAATAAACCAGTAACAAACGTTGGAGGGTCTGTGGGACAAAAGGAATCCTCCACTGGCAGGAGTGTCAGTTGCTGCAACCACTGTGGAAATCGTTGTGGCGATTCCTCTAAACTAGGACTAACGGTTACATTGGATCCAGCTATGCCTTCTTCGTACCTTCCCCCAAGAATTTAAAGCATCATGCCACAGTGACACATGCACACCCATGTTTAGAGAGGCACAGTTTGTTAAATCTTGGAAACCACACATATCTGCAGTCAACCAATTAATGCATAAAGAAGATGCGGTTTTTTTTTTCTTTTCATACAATGGAGTACCACTTCTGCCATAAACAAGCTTGAGACATTTATAGCTAAATGAATGGACCTTCAGACCACACTCTGAAGTAAGATAAATCAGGTACACATGTTGAGTGTTTTTCTGGTGAAAGAAACTGAAAATGTGAACATGTAAACAGGAGCTAAATGATTAACAGATATGTGGAAAAGGGAACAAAATATTCAAATAAGAGGGAAAAAAGGGAGAGAGAGGATGAAAGGAAGGATGGGAGATGGAAAAAAGTATAAACAAAAAAAATAAAATAAAATAAAAACAAAGTTTTGGGCTGGGGAGATAGCTCAGTAGGATAAGCTCCTGCCTGGCAAGCCCGGGGTCCCGAGTTCAATTCCCAATACCACAGGAAAAAAAAAAAGCTTTGGTAAATAAGGAAGAGGTGTTGAAGAGGACGGAGAGGAAGTGGAAAAGACGGATATATCCCGTCCAAGTACAAATTCTCTATGATGCATGTTATTATGCATGTCTAAACTGTACCAATTAAGAAAAAATAAAGTGAAAAATAAAAAAATAAAATTTACTGGGCCAGCCAAATAGCTCAGCGATTAAAGGGCCCAATTGAGGCTGGGCGTGGTGGCGCGTGCCTGTAATCCAGGCTCTTTGGAGGCTGTAAACAGGCGGATCACTACAAGTCCTACAAGTCCGATCTAGTAGTGAGACTCTGAGCACCCTATAGACCATTCCCTAAAAAATACAAAAATAAATAAATAAAATTTAAAAACTAAAATTTACTAATATATTGAATAAAAACATCGAAAATTAATGTAATGTAAAATCACTGCATTCAGACATTTGTAGTACCACACATTCACAGCCACAGTGAAATAATCTGCAATTCCCAGCTCTCCGCACTGTGAAGGTCCCCAGGGCCGCTCTCCCAAAGAGCCCTTTAGGGCGCGGAACAAGCGTCCCCTAGACCCGCCGCCTGTCGTACGCGAGCGGTACGGCGGGTCTGCTTTACGGCATCCCGCTCCGCCGTAAACCGCCGCAAACCGCCGCCCTGGAGCCCACGTGCGCTTGTTGACACCGCGGCTTCCGGCAGTCGCTCGCCGGCCGGCTCCGCGGCCGTGGCCATGGGCAAGCGCGGGAGTCGGAGCCAGCTGCTGAGTACCCTGACGAAAAAGCAGAAGAAGCACCTGCGGGACTTCGGGGAGGAGCACCCCTTCTACGACAGGTGCGGGCACTTGGGCGGCTCCCCGGGCGGCGTCCGGCTTCGGCTGGGCGCGTGGGGACGGGAGGCCCCTGGGGGTTCCTGGCTTTCGCATTTTGGGACCTCGACCTCGCTCGTAGATCCGGTTTCAGGAGTGAGGCCGACGTCCCGGCAGTGTGGGGACCCCGGGAGTGTCGGGCTGGTGCCGGCAGGGGCGGGAGGTGCTGGGGACGGAGTCCCTGCCGCGCGCGCTGCGCTCGCTCGCTCGCTTTTTTTTTTTTTAAATCAGACAAACAATTTTTGCCTTATTTTTTTGGAACAGGATTTCGCCCAGTATCCGAGTCGCCCCCGCTAGGCTCTTAACTTGGCCGGGCTGCCAATCTGCAAATAGACCTTCTAGTCGAGCGAGTCGGTAGAGAACCTCAAAGTCCTTTATTTGTTGGTGTGTTCTTTCCCACCGAGCCAGTTCCTGGGTGACTCGTTTCTTGTGCCATCGTGAAATTTCCCATTTGCCTGTTGTCCCTTTGTCGCATTTTTGCAGTCTCCTAGTGCGTATGCAATTTTCACATGACTGTAGTTACAGATGTACTTAGAATGGCAGGTAGTGCTGCTGCCTTTTTTTCTTTAAAATTGTGTCCGTGTGCTTTCTCCTAATTGGTACAAATTGGTAGTTAGAATTTAATGTTACCTTTTCTTCTCAGGGTTTCTGGAAAGGAAGCAAAACCGCAGATTTGCCAACTGGTAATGCTTTATACCTTTATAGTACTCGGGTCTGGGTTGTTACCATTAAGATTATATATGGTGGACTATATTTTATTCTTTCCAATTTTATATGCAAGCTATTACATTAGTAATAGTAGTATCGCTGGGCTTTTGGTGGATATGCCTATAAAAATGCCCTTGTAATAAGTAATACAGAAGTCAGAGTTTGGAACTGTTTCAAGAGCCTAGCCTTTTAGGTCTTCCAAGAAAGGCTTACCAAAGACCCATTAGGTAACCCTAAGGGAGAGTCTTTTTGCTTACCTTCTAAAAGCACTCAAGTAGGGTGGAGAATGAACAAAAGTCCTGTCATCATACAACAAATCTAAAAAAAGTATGTTTCTTGTTTTGTGATTTTCCTGTTGTTCCTTTAAACAGTTAATGTCTGGGGCATAAGTTAAATTTCCTTCCAACCTAAAATTTTGTGCTTTAAAAGTCTTAAAAGTTTTCTTTCATTAGCAGTTCAGAGAATGTAAGAGCTTCTACAGTCATAGCTAGATTGTCTGCTCAGAGTAAATTTGGTGCCAGACTTGATCAAATAGGTAAGCTTGTATATTTGGAGGAAGTTAATTTCTATTTAGAAAAGTCAGAACCTCTTGTCTTGATGATAAGTCTTAGGATGATCATGAGAAAAATAGTTTTTGTTTTCAAAATTTTCTTTTTAGTCAGAAAGTTCAGATACTTCAAATTCTGAGAGTGAATCAGAGAGTGAACCAGAACAAGTTTCTGGGTACCACAAACTACTTGCTACATTAAAGAATGCTTCTGAAGAAGAGGAGGAAGAGGAAGAAGAAGAGGAGGAGGAAGAAGACAGTGTGGCAGAAATGAATGAAGACCATGTCAGGAGTGACATCGTTGTGGAGGAAGAGAAAGCCTCACAGATGCAGGAGGGTGAGTGTTTTGGGGTTTCTTCTCCTTGCCAGGGCCATACATAGACGGTCCACACAGGCCCTGTACTGTGTGATTCTATATGAACAGGTGAATCCAAAGCAAGAATTTAACTTACATGGGACTTGATTATATGCTGAGATGCAAGGGAAGCACAGGACCCTCTTGCCAGAACAGTGACGAAATACTGTTTTTGCCACTTCAGGACTTCATTGATCCTAATGAAAGACTTCCTGACACAGGAAGAACATGATTCTGTCATTGTGGCGGGTCACTTTATTAAATAGGTTCTACTCCTTCCTTAAAGAGATCGTGTTTGGTGACCAATAGATATTGTGGACATTGTTTGATAGAGATAAGATATTGAAGCTATTGGGTCCCCATCCTTGACCTCAGGCAGCCACTGGTCTGATTTCTGTCACTACAAATTATTTTTACCTGTTATAGAAATTCATAAAAGGCTGGCCGAATAGCTCAGCAGATTAAAGCATCTGCTTAGGCAGATGCAGGGGCCAGGAGTTCAATCCCCACGACCTCCATGCCAGCCCTGCCCGGGCCTGGTGGCGCACACCTGTAATCCCAGCATTTGGGAGGCTGTAAACAGGAGGATCACTATGAGTCTGATCTACGTAGTGAAACCCTGTTGACCCTGTCCTAAAATAAAAAAGAAAAAAATAAATTAATACAAATGGAGTCGTAGAATAGGAGCCTTCCTGGGTTCATCTTGTGTTATGTTACTGTTTCACCCATGCCTGTGTCTTAGCAGTTGGATACATTTTGTTGCTGGGTAGTAGTCTGCTGTCTAAGTATACCTGGGTAACTTTGTTTTACTGTCTCTACTTACTATTTTCCTTACAGCCTCTTTTTTGTCCTATCCTTTGTCATATGCCATGCTTAGTATTTTAAGTGATCCGTTATATTGGCATAAGATTTCACTAAAATTTAGGATTTGTTTGTGGGTCTTTAGTTTGAGTTTCAGTTGGCTTTCATTGCTTTTTTAAATATTGTCTAAAATGGAGAATTTTTTTATTATAAAAGCAGTACTAGAAGCAAGAGTGTTGTGATTAACCTGTGTCTCCACTACTCAGAAACTTATCAACATTTCTGACATTGTATCATAACTTTTCCAACCTGTTTTTACAGGTATGTGTTGTGTATATGTGTATATATGGTTACATGTTTCTGTAACTTATTTATTTATGAATGACAGGCTCTCTATGCAAAGCTGACCTTGAGTTCACTTTCTAATCTAGGCCAGCCTAGAACTTGGTGATCCTCCTACCTCACCCTCAGAGCTGGGGCTTTAGGCATGTGCCACCATACACTTCTTTTTCTTTTTCTTTTCTTTTGAAGCCAGCTCAGCCCACCCTTTGGGCGGGGCTGGTACAGCATATGATGCCAAGGATCAAACCATGGTCCCTGCGCTTTTCCTAAGCTTCCTAAGCAGGTGCTTTAGACTGCTGAGCTAGCTCACTGGGCCTGCTTCTTTTTTTCTTTAGTCATATGTGATGGGGTTTTTTTCTACGTCTGTAATACAACTGTGTGATCACATTATCTCTGTTGAGGGGGCTGTTTTGTTTTTTATTTTTTAAATTTTTTTGGTATCAGGAATCAAATTCAGAACCTTTTGCTTGCCAGGCAAGCACTTGGGCCACTGAGCTGTATTCCCTGTGCTGTTGTTTATTTTCTGAGATAGTCTCTATAGTTCAGGCTGGCCTTAAACTCATAATCCTTGTGTCTGAGCCTTCCAAGTAATGGGGATTATAGGTGTATGTCATTATACCTGGCTTACATTAGCTTCTTAATTATGTAGTGTGCAGTTGTATGTTACATGTGGCTTTTTTTTTTTTTTTTTAAGAAAAGGGTCTGCAAGAAGGTGTTCAGGGTCTTACTACCAGATTGGACTCATAGTGATCTACCTGTTTACAGCCTCACAAGAGCTGGGACTATAGCCACGTGCCACCACACCGTGTCTCAATTGCCATCTCAGTGTGCCCCGGGGGTGGGGCCAGCATGGCAGGCCTGGGGGTTGAACTCCTGGCCCCTCTGCCTGCTTGCGGATACTTTAGTGCCCTGAGTTGTTTGGTGCTTTTTTTTTTTTTTTTTTT